ATAAACTACATTTTGCATTTGGCCACTAGTCCATTTGTCTGAGATAGAAACAATTGTACATTTTCTTTCTGGATTTAGCAAAGTTCTGTTTTCTAACCATCTTCTATAATCAACTCAGGGATACTCTACCAAGACAAATGAAGCATACAGGTATGAGAGAGAACTGCAAATTTTGTCAAGGAAGGAAAGAGTTGAACAGGTGATCTATTCTGTAACTGCTTGAAACTGTGAAATGAGAGATATTTTGCAGTCTACTTAGGACTATGTGGGAGTTCCCTAATGCCACCATAACTTCATCATCCCAATAACTAGAGATTTCTCGCTCAGCCATATGAACCTCCTGAATTTATATTTATAGGGTCTTCTTTTATTGTCTGGCCTATTTATAATAATTAGTAGAATTCAGGTGTAATATTACAGTTTACTAATAGGGACCATTAAACTTTAGGATCAGAAGTGATATTCTGTGGTTTGAAATCTCCTTAATTTCAAAATTCCAAATCAATACTCAGTGTTTTGTGACTATGAAAGCTGTGTGATTTGGAGAATATTACTTAATGTTTGTGAACCCTTTTCTTCTTTATCCTTTTGTTTTATTGTTTTTGCATTTACTAACATGTGTACACACTGTTTGTGCCACCTCCCCCTCACACCCCTACCTCCTCCAATCCCCTGCTTCCAGGCAGAACTTGTTCCACCTTCTTCTCCAATTTTGTTGAAGAGAAAACATAAGAGATAGTAAGAAAGACATATAGTTTTTGCTACTTTGTGATAAAGATAGCTATACATAGAGATTCCTAGCCTTGCTTCCATGCACTTGTGTATTGCAACCCACATTGGTTCATTTCTACCAGACCTCTTCGCTACTTCTTGGTCCCCTTCCCATGGTGGCCTCTGCTAATTTGATTACTTTATTTGCTCCTCAAATAAAGGGAGCATATCAACCACATTCAAGTTTTAGGTTTCCTTTCCTTTCCCTATTTCTCCTGTGCATGTTCTTCCCTTAGTGTGTGATCCATGTCCAATAATATTACTGCATTTGATTTGGGTCTATAATCCACATATGAGGGAGAACATGTGATTTTCGGCCTTCTGAGCATGGCTAACTTCGTTTAAGATGATGTGCTCCAGTTCCATCCATTTACTTGCGAATGACAAAATTTCATTTTTCTTTGTGGCTGAGTAAAATTCCATTGTGTATAAATACCACATTTTCTTAATCCATTCATTGGTAGTGGGGCATGTTGGCTGTTTCCATAGATTAGCTATTGTAAATAGTGCTGCAATAAACATGGGTGTGCAGGTGCTTTTGTTGTAACTTCAGTAACATTCCTTCGGGTATATCCACTAGGAGTAGTATTACTGGGTCATATGGCAGATCTATGTTTAGTTTTTTAAGAAGCCTCTATATTGTTTTCCAGAGTGGTTGTACTAGCTTTTATTCCCACCAGCAGTGTATGTGGGTTCCTTTTTCCCCTGCATCCTTGCCAACATTTGTTGTTGTTGGTGTTTTTGATGATAGCCATTCTAACTGGGGTGAGGTGGAATCTTAGTGTGGTTTTGATTTGCATTCTGAACCCTCTTTTAAGCTATAAAGTAGAGCCCCAAAAGTACCTAAAACACAGATTGTTTTAGTGAATAAATAAGACAATGATTGTAAAGCATCTACCACAGTGCCTGGCATTCTCTGGGTACAAAAATATTTTATTTAAACAGAGAATAAGGATGACTAGTTGTTAACTGGTAACTCCCCCTAAAATAATTTGAAAAACTGATTTCAAATGTATTTCAGTCTGCTAATTACAGTGCTCTGATATTTAACTGATGATGTACTAATTCTGTGCACTTGCACAGCAAGATATAAAACACTTTGCCAATTACAGAGTGTTAAACAAATGCTAGTCATGATTAAGTCATAAGCAAAAACATTTAAAATATTGAAAATTCTTGTAATGGGAGAATTCTTGTGTCCTTTAAAATTATAGGTTTCAATCAATATGTTTAGAAAACTAAATTAATCATAATCTACACTGTACCATGTAATGTTCTGGGTGGTACATGACAAAGAAGCTAAATTGAAATAGTAGTTTTAGAATCAAGAGGTAAACATTAGGTGATAATGAAACATTTATTAAAAAGAACATTCTCTCTTCAAACCAAAAATGAAAGCTCAAACATGTCCTTTATTTCCACTTTATTTTTTATTTCAGAATTATGCTATAGAGAAATGATAGAAGAGAATGATCTGTACCTGTGCACTTTTTCTTTTGAAAGTAGACCTAAGTGAGTTAAAATGTTTTCACCTTTTATATATAAAGGCAGAGTTACAGAGCTCAAGTTTGAATCTATTTTATATTTTACCTTTTCTCTGCAACCAAACAAAACAACAGCTTGCCATAGATAATATAACTATAATTAAATTGCCTGCTTCATAGATGGCATGAAACATTGGCCAGATAGAATTGACTTCAGTGAAGATATTCCCATAAGAGTCAAGAAACCCAAGTTCTTGTCTCAGCTTTACTACTAGTTCACTGTGAGACTTGAACTGTGCTCCTTTTCACTTTCTTCATATGTAAAATGAAAACTTAGAGTACATCATAACGTTACTCTTATATGCTTCTATTTGACCAATTTGGAGTGAAATTTAAGAGGTTCCTGTAGGGCCATTCCTTGGTTCAACTGAGGCTAAAGTTCCCTAACCTAAATAGAGAAGATAAGTGTAATCTTGTTCAGGAAATTTCACCACTGGGTGTTTTATTTCAAAATACTTGAATATTGGCTTCTGTGAGTTGTCGCTGAGGCAACAGGAGAAAATTCAGAACACATAGTCTATATAAGGAGACTGATATGCCTGCATTCAAAGATTATTTGGTTATAGCAGACAAGAGGAAAACGAGGATATGACAAGATAAACCAATTCAAAGTAATAAGATTTATGAATTTTAAGAAATCCAAATAGAATCTTCATATTCTTACTAAAATGCTGCCATTCTTAATAGGCTAACCCAAGCACTCTTCCTACTGGAAGACTTGCCTGACTTCCATACTGAAATTCCATCTCTTACTCTAGCCCTCTGGGATCCTTGACTTCCTCTTTGAAATCTTACAGCACTAGATATGACATTCTTAGGTCCTTATCACTTATATGTTACTTTATATTTGAGAAAATTACATAATATCTTATCTGCTTAAATGTATTCTAAAAAGCTGCTGGGAGTTGGCACCCTTTTCTTTACCATCAGTGCCCTCCTATTTGTTGATGTTTACTCTCCCCTCTCAAGCTTTATTTGATCCACTGCTCTGCATTTATTAGGTATTCAATAGATGTTTCCTGAATGGAGGTCAGACTGTATGAGGGGAGAGAGTATCACACTGACTACAAACACACCAAAAGGAAAGTGGAAAATTACTTTAAACAAACAAGCAAAGTGCTATCCCTATGGTCTGTCAGGCTTCAGAGTCTAGTATAAAAAGAAGAAGTAAGAGTAATATATTTCTGTTGTCAGCATACCTGACTTATTATAAATTTAGTTTAATTTACAATGTTTCATTTTATACTTTTCATCACTTATGAAGATCATTCTCACTATGACTACTTTGGAACAAAAATCATTAAATATTGCTTTTGGCAGTTTAGGTTTTCCATTCTGGGAACTGTCCAGTTTTCCTTTATATCCCATTCCCACTATCTACTCTTACCTTTCTAGTTCTGATAAATATTCACACCAAGATTTTTGAGTAGGGGTACAAGGATATTAAAGTCAAGATTTAAGAAATGCTTAACTTCTAGGGAAATGGTCTTCAGACATAGTGGAGGATGTATTTTGAGGCAGAGGGCCCACCCAGGTACTCTTCATAATATACCATACAGCTAGGTTGTAATATTAGGCTGGACCTGCACTAGCATATTTCCTTTTCCCATGGCCTATGTGAAAAGTACCCTTCTCCTGGTCTGAAGGTATACTCAAGTCTTGCACAATTCCTCCTGTTTATTCCCTTAAGTGTAGTAAGGGTGGAGAGTATTAGGTGCCTAATACACTGTTGTACTGGGCACTTGAACTCCTGGCCTCAAGGATTCCTTGAAATACCATGTTCAAGAGCTTGAAGATATGGGTTTGGGCTACAGGAAACCAGTCTCTTTTCACTCAAAGTTCCCCTAAGCCTTGGGAGGAAATGGGGGCTTATTTGCACTTCCTGATCACAGGGACATTAAGGGTAACAGAGAGTGGGTGGAAAAGAAGTGGAAGGTAGGTTATAGTTGCAAATTCTTCTTAAGGAGTGGAATGTTCATTTCAATGTCAAAATTTCAGGTTTGTGTATTCAAGAATGCTCCAGGCAGAGGTCATCCCCTTGCTGATTTCTACTGTGACCCAATTAGGTAACATCCTTAGAGAAATGATCCCTTTAGTACTAGAACACAACTGAGGAGCTGTGAGAAAGGATCATATTGAAGACTTTAGTGGTCCACTAAATATGGAAGGGGCCAGAGGACACCTAGTTTCTGCAGAGGGCTCCATAAACAGTCTCTGTGTTATTACAAATTCAAAACTGAGTACAACCACAGAATTGGAAGACAATGAGCTATAAATAGAAAGGAGGGTTTCTTCTGCTAATTGTGAAGCTTTTGCACGCTTTATGTACAGCCCGTAGCATAGCCCTGCATCATTAATCAAAGAGAGAGAGAGAGAGAGACAGAGAGAGAGAGCAAACACGCTGCCCCCTGGAAAACGGAAATGTTCAGTTTGTACAGAGTAGCTTGCATATTTCACTCTGACATCTCACTACCATGTTTTTCAACATGGTAGTGGTTAGGTAATGCTGAGAATTTAATTTTTTCTTTTATCTTCATTGTTTCTCTTTTAGTTTTATTTTAAACTATTTTTCCTACCTTCCTCCCTTTCTTCCTCCCTTCTTTTCTCCCTTCCTCCCTCCCTTTCTTTTTTTCTTTCTTTCCTTTCTTTTTTCCTTTTCTTCCTTTTATTGGTAGTAAAGAATTGGATAGGTTATTCTCAGAACACGGAGCCAGAATTGATGCACAGATCAGTACTGTCCTTTTTGGAGTGGCTGTCACATGAATTCTTTGGAGACCACTGAAGAAAACAGAAAGAAACTGAAATGGTAGGCTCCAATTTTTTAAATGCATTATTAGCTTATCTGTGTCATTCACCCTTGATGTCTAGAATTGAACTCTTCATACCAAATTCTGAATAACCTGTCGGATCTAAGGGTACTTACGGATATAATGAACCTGGGCAACCCTCAGATCTCATTTCTTTGGTATTGGCATGAACAAAAATAATCATCAACTTTGAATTGGGGAAAATGTAAATTTTATGTGGAGACGTTTTTCATTATGTGTATTGATATTGGAAAAAAATAGCTCTGTGAGCATTTGTAATCTAACCTATTTTGTATTAAGTTACTTGTATGAATGTGCAGGGTGATTTTTATCTACTCTTTTTTACAACTCTTTGAGGATAATATTTTTATCTGATGAATGATTAAAATAGTTAACTTTTAGTCCTTTTCAAAATGAGCTATGATTTTAAAAATGAGAGCTGTAATATTTCAAGACCATTACCAATATGAACACATTCTTCTCTCAGTTTTTATGTTACATATTTTCAGTATAAAAATGAATTATTGAAATTAATAGTAAATGTAGAGATTCTGCTTTTAAGAGAGCAATATGGAAGAAAAACATGTTTGTAATGACAGAGAGGGGAAATAAGAAATACAACAGTCACAGTTGCTCTGTTTTTCGTAGATAAGCTGTATTTATCAGAGTAAGTAATCAGTACATTAAAAAATAAACAGTGGATAAAATGACTTTGGATAAATTTATATTTCAAATACTGATAATTGACAACTTATTTTTTGAAAAAATGTAATTGGAATTGTTTTCTGGTTTGTATGCTTTTTCTTTTGGGACCAAATAAGGAAATATTTAGAAAATTTCTTTTAACTTTAAAACAGATATGGGGCTATCGATGGCATGTAACTGCTAGGAGCTATAGTCAAAGATAAAAAGAACAGAAAAAATGGATTTCCATTTGAGATAAGGGCAGGAATGAAGAGGGATGTGGTACAACATGGCCAAGGATTAAATCTCAAATAACTTTTTTTGCTCCTTTGCTGTCAATATTGATGCGAATGGATTTCATTTTATACTGGCCTAATCTTTCCAGGGAAGAAAAGTTCTGATTTTATTGAATAAGAACAAGTAACTATTTTAGATCATTTGAGTCATTCAGTAAAGAATGTTGCTTTCCATTAGCTGTTTTAAATCACAAGTATGGAGGCAATGATATCAATCTTTTAGGTGGGTTTTGAGTTCTTTAGCTCAGGCAAAGATTCTGCCAGCCACACTGGCAAATATTTGGATCATATAAAAGCTATTTCCCAGAAAGTCTGTGTCCAAGAGGAGATATATTTTAATTGCAGAAAACTGTTTTGCACTTGTGAACACATGCATTGATCTGCCCTGTTAGATGTTATAGTAATATTTCTGTGAAAAATACATCTAATGTATCTATTCTGTTGAGATAAGTGTAATATGGTGCCAGAGATCATAGATCAATCATGGGACACTGATTGTTCCAAAAAGTTCATTGAGCTTCACCTGTAGACCCTTAGAAATGAATGAACTTGAGTATTGCCCTTTGTACTAGGTAGCTGGAAAAGGAGAGGAGAAAGAAGCATTCAATCTGTCATCCTCTCATGGACACTTTTAGCACCAATTAGATACCCAGATCCAGAAAGGGAATTTAACTCCTTTTTCTGACCCCTATCTAATCATGAGAGGAGGGGCCCCATTCCCTTGTTCCCCCCAAAAATGGTTTTTCTAAATCCTTCCTCCTAAGGCTGCTCTCTCAGGAATCAGTTTCTAGGTCCCTAGAAACCTACCAAGAACTTTCTTTTACTGGAGAAATGGCCAACATCTGAGACTCTTTTATGATTTGGGAAGTGAAATAGGTTGAAAGTACATTTTATGATTAGAAAAACTGAGGCTCAGGGGGTTGAAGTGACTGGGTCAAATACTTCTGTGAGTCTTTGACAGAAAAAATAGTTTAGGATTTAGGTTTCTTGATGCCTTGTCAGTTGCTTGGTTCTGTTGCCTAATGAGGCTTGTAGATTAAGAGTCATGCATTATTCATTGGAAAATGTTAAAAAGATGTCATTTTGAAATCAAGAATCTCTCAATGCCAGGACATACTTCAGGCTTCTCTGAAGGGCTCCAATATTGCAGCAGACCTTGATTTGCTGGCCTTTACCACTGTTTCCTTGTAAGAAGATGGAAGAACTTTTCTCATTGTGGCTTACATAAAATAGCTTCAAAATAGAAATTAATACTAAGTACTCTAATATAGCATTAGCACAGACCTGGCCATGTGCTGTATGCTTATGTGCTATATCTAGTGCCATGGAAACAATTTATTCAACATAAGAAGGCAAGGAAGAATGTTCAGGAAGTCCTGAGGTATAGGAGATTTGAGATTTGAGAAGGGAGTCAAGATTTCAGGGTATCTGTCTGGCAAGAGTGTGAAGGAACAAACAATTACAGTAATTGGTGGAGTGTGAATCCCAAAAAGGATGTGCTAGTTAGTGGCTTGACTATTACTAACATTTATTGTGTATTCAGGTGCTGTCTGGGATTAAAGTTGGTTTTCTTGGTAGGCTTCAAAAGTGGGAGGGGAGAGCATGTTTCAAAGACAATAATGGCAATAACTGCATTTCCATCAGCCAGGAATAAAGTTGCTGATTTCCTGAAAAACAGAAGTGCAAAATATTTATCAAAATCAAATATGTACAAACTCTGGAAACTTGATTATGAATTAAGAACTTCACTAATTTTAATTATATAGTGAGGAAACCAAAGCTTAATTTATTGCAATGATCAGTTATATGGATTATGTAGAAGCATGACTTATGATCAGAGAAGGGATCTGGGCTGCTAGTTCAGGCTTAGATGCATCTTGGACAGTATAATCATTATTTTACTGTGGAAATAAAACATGTGCAAATGTCTGCGTCAAGTCAAAAGCACCTCAACTCCTTTTTTACTTCTTGACAATATATTTATTTCTTCCAAAAATTTTTGCTCAATGTCACACTACTATGGCAAATAATAACAAGACTTTCATTACTTAGTTAAAATTCTTTTAAGCTTTATTTGACAATCAGATTCAAGTATTTCTTACAAGCTTACCACGTGTTACCAGAGATTTCTTATCAGGAAATTACTTATTTTTATGCAACAAAATAATTCCTGCAGCTTAAGTATATAATAACAGTAATGATAATGATTTACTATTCAGTCTCTTTGATATTTTGGTAATATTATATAACTTACAAGTTTATGGTTTAAAATGAAATGTGTATTATCTTGAATGTCTAGTCTATTTGAAGGGTTAGACCATGTAGTGTGCTGAAAAATGGACATATTTAGGATAGACTGATTTATTATTTATCATATGTGGTTTTTCAATTAAATATTGTCATCAAATTTGATTGTTAGAATAAAAAGCTTACAGAAGGAAAAAGCATAAAAAACCTATACTACATTTTAATCTATGTTTTTCTGGTCCCTATTAATTCTTATATAAAAGCTCTTATTCATTTAATTTTCTAAAGATACATTTTTCTAAATACATATTTGTTTGACTTTTCTCTACACATTCCCATGATAATAGCATCCTGATTCTATATTTTGGGGACTAGTTTTGATTAGAATCTGTTTTTAACATTTTTCCTCTTAATCCTAACATATTCTTATTCTTAAGGTACTATAGATTTTTCTTTCTTCTAAGGAACCTAGAGTTAAAACTAGGTGGTACTGATTTCTTTAAACTTTATGAAACTAATTAAGTCTAAGGAAGGAAATTTCAGTCACTTGACCTATCATTAATGTGTCTTTGATGAACTACTACAGAAATGTCTGGTTTTGTTATCAAAAGCAGTCACAATCCATATCAAGACATCTAACGCAGTGATGCTTTTCCCTGTGAACATCTATGACCTCATTATGACAGACTAGTTTGTAAAGCAGCTAGTCTAGATAACCAATCTTTGTTAATTGGGGAAAGTAGATTTGAAGATCAAATTATCCTGAGTGACTGATCATACATTGGATTTGGGGTACTCTGCTTTGCTCTGGTCACCTTGCTGAAAGGCCCTTTTGGTCACGGAGGATAGAGTTTACATCCCTCAGTTTTAGACCATGAAATTTGATTAAGCAAAACACAATGAAGACACTCTGGAATCTGCAGAGAGAACAAGTCTGTTTCTCAGAATACTGAGTTTGACCTGGATCATATTAGATGTAAAATTATTTCTTAATAACCATCTTGGTTCTAAGTTACAGTTGTAAGAGTTTCACACTGAGAAATATCATCTGTGAATATGGGCATGACGATTAATCTTGCTGACTCCTCTCCAAATGCTATGTTACCTCCATTATATGCGTTCCTTAGGTACACTGGATAGAAATTTAATCTTTTGTCACCCTTTTCATTTAGTGATAGACACACCTGGAAACCTGGAAGTATTTTGGAAACATATAAAATGAAATTAGATGGTCAATCATCCTAGTACACTCTCCTCTAAAAACTGTATGATGTTGCTTTGAAAAACTTAAGTCTGATCTAGTACTATTAGTATATATTACTCACTTGCTATTTTGAGCCGTAGAATATGAAACACTTCAAAGAAGTGGCACTAAAATCAGTACCTTTTTTGGAAAAAAATAATACTTTAATTTGAAAAAGAGAATTAATTTTTTTAAAAATCTAAAAATTTGCTTTCAAAGTAAAATTGTAATTTCACATAGACCTCTTTTGCATAGTTATAGTAATGTCTTATAAACTGGAAATTTACAATCAGCATATTTTTGTATACTTATCTCCTACACACACAAGAGGTATTATGTCAGAGGATGGATGTATAATTTACATGATGGTAATAATTACTTCAATATATATATGTATTTCAAAACTGTATTTTATAGCCTGAATATACACAGAAAAAAGTTACAAAACAAAACAAATCTAAGCAATAAAACATTATAATATTCACCATAGAATCATCACAATTTAAATTTGTAATGAATGTCTTTTGGA